TGAGTGACTGGACGAATGTCTAATCTATGCCAGGGCATAGGCCAGACCCTGAGAGAGCGAAAATGAAGGCCCAGCCCTGCCCTCTGGCTGCTCCCATGTCATCTCTCAGCTCAGTGGCAGCAGGGCTTGGAGTCCGCTCCTCTCACCAGTCACCAAGCAGCTTTTCTTATTTTTCTAGCAGGTATACATTCTTTTCCCAGAAGTTACATACTACGTAGCATAGTTTACCACAGCACACAAGCACCCTGAGAAGTTTATACATTGGAATTTCATACTTCCTAGGGCAGTAAACATATCATCCCCACAAAGGAGGCTTCGAGGTAACAATGGTCTAATTTTTTTAAATAGCCCCATATCTTTATGATCCTGTTTACTAGACAAGCAGCCTACCTATCTTATTTTGCACAGTGAAACATTCATAATTATAAAAGGAAGCTGGGTTTTCATTTTAATTTCCTTCCTAGATGTAAAGATTTTTTTCTGCTGTTTGTACATTTCAGATCCTGCTGCCGGAGGCTCTGATGACTGGGCTTATGACCAAGGAATCAAATATTCCTTCACCTTTGAACTGCGGGATAAAGGCAGATACGGCTTTGCCCTTCCTGAATCCAAGATCCGGGCAACCTGCGAGGAGACCATGCTGGCGATCAAGCACATCGCCAGCTACGTCCTGGAGCATCTGTACTAGTCGAGCATCTGAGAGCCTTAGTCTAAAACGCTCAGCCTTTCCTGTCCTGAGTTCTAATTTCTGTTTGCCTGGATGTTTCCAGATCCCAATCTTTCTTTTAAGCTTCTGGGTCTATTAAATTAGTTGGAAAAAGGAATAATAAAAGTGAGTCATTATCATCAGAAAACCTGACAGATCGCCTACTTCTTTGGGGACAACTGGAGTGAACAAATGACTAAGCGCGCTGGGCACAGGTAATGAAGTGGCCCACTGCACATGGGAGTCCTGGGGGTGCTGGCCAACCCGGGCCGAGTACTGCAAGGTACTGGCCATTAAGGGGACTTGCAAGGGGGAATAAACATAAGGGGAAACTTAGGGTTGTAAACCATAGTATAGGAGGAAAGACCCCATCTTGGTTTAGCTTTCATCTCACTCAACTCATTCAGGTTATTTCATGAGCTGTGTGCTACGTGCCATGCGCTTTGCTAAGCAATTGAGAACAGAGCAGTGAAAAAAAGAGAACATTTCTGCCCTTAATGGTTGTATAGACCATTTGGAAAGACAGACGTGAAACAAATAGTTATTTAACTTACTATTTAATAATTCATTAATTTACATTAAGCAAGTAAGAGTTGGACAAACTGCATAAAAAAACCCCAAAACATTAAAAGGCCTATCTGCCCGATGTGGAGAGAAGGCACCCAGGAAGGACTGAACCTAAAGAATAAGTCACAATTAGCTGGGCGAAGAGAGCGCCCCTGCCAGGCCCATGACTCTTCAGAGCCCGAGAGAAGGAGCCAGGGATGTGAGACAGAGAGTTGAGGAAAGAAGGGCCTGTGTATGGGCTGAGGAAGGGGTGGGGACCATACTGGACAGGTCATCTTAAGGATCTGGAACAGTGGTCTAGGAACAATGGAAAGCAATAAAGACATTAAGTTGTAAATGGCGTGATCAGTTTTTAAAACACCCACCAGGCTGAGGTGTAGAATGTAGATTGGAAGTAAAACAAGAGGTGCCAGGAATCCTGGCTGCACCAAAAACCACTCCAGGACTTGAAGTTTTCCAGAGTTGGAACTGAACGTGCTAATGGTGGAGTGTATTTTGCAAAGTGCAAATTTTAAAATAATACGTATTTAGTTATAGTTTGGGGATGTCTCTTACTTTAAAACCATAGAACAAAATATTAGTTCATTGTTTTCTGTGTGGATTCAAGGAAAATAGGATTCCACATCTCCATAATATGCTGAAATATCTAGGACAGTGTTCTATTCAAAAATTCTATTTTGTGCTCACCACCAAAAGAGCACACAATAGCGTATACAGATACCTACTAATAATGTTGTACACCTGAAATTTACATAATGTTATTAACCAATGTTGCTTCAATAAAAAAAAAAAAGATTAAATGATAGTATGTGACGGAAAACAAAACAAAAAAGAATTCTTCGAAGTCACACGGTTTATTTAGAAGTTGTCCAGCCCAAGAATGATTAACTGCATTCATTGTCCACTAGATGGTAGCAGTGAAGCTGCTACAATTTGTCAAGCAATCATCAAAATAATTTAGTAATACATTGTCTAAATAAGAAGATAAAAAGAGACATCCTGGCCCTGGTAGGGTTGCTCACTTGGTTGGAGCGTCATCCTGTGCACCAAAAGGTTACAGGTTCGATCCCTGGTCAGGGCACATGCCCAGGCTGCAGGTTACAGTCCCTGGTCTGGCGCACAGGGGAGGCAATGGATAATGTTTCTCTCGCATCAATGTTTCTCTCTATCTATCATCTATCTATCTACCATGTATCTCTTCCTCTTTCTCTCTCTAAGAACCAATAAGGGGAAAAACCATATCCTTGGGTGAGGATTTTAAAAAAGAGAAAGACATCCTTAAGGACAAACAAGAAATTCCCACAAATCCTTAAACGGTACTGATGGTAATTTTAAAAATAGATGTAATTTAGCTAAATTGTCTTTCCCATTCTTTATTTAAGTCACATGCATGCTGTGAACTGGAAGGCTAACTCAGCCGGTCACTGAGAGATGTGCTTGCTGGAGGCATATCACCGAATTCATAGTTCCACAGGACGCTCTCTTACCCCACCTCTAGGGGGTGCTGTGGCCCAAAGTTCAGAAGTCCAGCGAGTAAAAAAGAACCCCCCAAAGTCTCTAAATTGAGTGTTTTAAAACAGAAATTAGGAATGCAGACAATATGCAATAGGAATATAATTTAGGGATTTTCTAAAATCACAAGGAATTTTTAAACAGAAGAACAAGGATTAGGAAAGCAAATACAAAATATTCTCATTTAAAATCTCATGTAGCCAAGATTTCCTGCACTGGAGACATTTTTGCTATATCTCCTGCCAACTGAAAGTTAACAGCTAACTGGCTAACTGGCTAAGAGTGTCACTTGCCTGAGCTAAAGCAAAAAAATAATCCAAAAAAAACCCCACAAAACCCCAGAAAGAAGAGTCTGCTGTAATCCTTCCCAACGCAGTGGTGCCACATGCCCTCCTGCCCGGCTGACTGGAGGCGCCGAGGGCCCCCAGGCCCGCCCACCAGGAGCCCCGGCTGTGAGGTCACTTCCCCTCTTTAGCTTACTCCCAGGCCGGAGCCCAAGACAGGCTCTGAGCCCTTCCTTCAGTTCCCGGTTCTCATCCCCCCAAAGCAGCAACGAACCAACACACGGGAAAGGCCCTGAATCCCTCCGCTCTCCAATGGTTTGGCTACAAAATAGCAAGACTGGTTTTCCAGCCTGGATCATGGAGGTTCCACATACCTAGAATCACATCCCATGTGTTCAGCTGCCTTTGCCAGCTGACCTATATGAACTGGCCAGAGAGAATTTCAGTTAATGAGGTTTTTCGGGTGCCAGGTGGGGTCTTGATGATCCTTTCAGGTCATCCCATTTGAATAGGCAATCACTTGCCCCTCATCAGGTCCGACCCTGCTTGAATCGCACACCCAGTTTGTTCTCCACTAAGGAAGACAAGTTTTTCTGCAGCATTTTGCTTCAGTGTTAAGTTTTGTTTCAATGTTAAGCATCCAACATCCACAGTTAAGGTAACAAATTTTTCTTTTACCATGTCCTTTATGAAATGTCTAAAGGTGTGCCAGAAGTTTGTTGGGTTTGATTTGAAGACAGAAAACTATTTAAAGATTCTAATAATTACAAGAGAAATTTGACTTTCATTTTCCAGGACATTTCTCTTATAGCAATAATGTCTGAAAATATGCAGAGAAGCATAGTTTAAAAAACAATGGGATTTGTAAACCATAGTTAGACATACACTACTGAAAATCCTTGGAGTACAAAGACCCAGAAAGGTGGAAAATTATTGCCATGTGAGCATTCAATTCTACATCTCTTTTCAAAGAGACTCATTATAACTATAAAGCATGTTGCCTCATAGAGCCAATCCTGCAGCGAGTGATACGGTGTCCAGCAGCTATCCTACCCCATACAAGTACCAAGACCTTTTATAAATCTTGCTGCAATAACGTAAAGTTGTACTGAACTATGCTTGCCAAGAAATCAAACCCATTCTGAGAAAAAGCGCCAGTATATTCTTGCAATCCATCTATTATACCATCCTTCAGAGGCTAAATAGACTGGGAGACGTGGCAGGTCTTAAAAGCATCACGTGTCTGTGTCCTATTCCAGAAACAGGGAGCTGTCGGCAGTCAATACCCAGCAGATACGAAGAAGTCAGAGATTTGTCCCGCATCAAAGTCTTATCCTGAGGGAATCGGGATCCTTCAAACATTTACTTAGATCCCAAAATTAAATAGAGGTGTCCTTCACACGTCACTTGAAAAAAGATATAGAAGCCTTTCCCGCACCGTTTTAAAATTAGTCACACAGAAAAGGCTTCAAAAAATATGTGAGAATGATAGAATTAATGGTGATTTCTATTTTCCTCTCCCAACTTTTCTGTATTTTGCTAAAATATCTTCAGGGGGATTTATTACTTTTAGAATCAGAAAATAAAACTCCAAAAAGCAAAGCTACTACATAAAACAAAAATAAAAATTAAAAAATTCTCCAGGTGGTCCAGATTGAAACAGAGCGAGCTCTCACCCTAAGGTCACAGCAAGCGCTTGAGGTGACCGAGCGATGCCCACCGACTGGCATCAGCTCTGCAGCCGGCCCACGGCCAGCTGTGGGTCTGGTCACAGAATCGGACAATTTCATCAACTCCCTAGAGGTCACGGCATTCCCTTAGTCCCTGCCACCCACCACGTCCCTTACATATGCTACCTCATTTGGTCCTCGCAGCCACTTTTTAGGGTCACATTTGCATCCATTTTACAGGTGAGAAAACCAAGGCCCAGAATGACGAGGCAGCCTGCTCCAGGTAAAGTAGCCAATGTCCGGGAGCCACTCCAAGGCTCTATCTGTCAAGCTCTTTCTCTCTCTCTGTGCCCCTGCCAAACACACCCTTAGAGACAGCGGAACAAGCATTTGCTTTGGGAGTTTCTAGAGCTGATGAGCTTGTCCGATGTCAAGAACATGAAATCATTTGTAAAACCCTCCTCTCCTTACCTGCAGGGTTGGGCAAGGGGACCTTTGAAGGAATGAAAGAAAGTCTTAGATTATATCGCACACCTATCAGAGAGAAATGAAGCTATTGCTGCTACTTATAATTTATAATCTCCCCCAAAACAGTATTTGGATAATAAAAATATGCAGCCATGACTCTGAGAAGCTTCATACATGACCACCTATACATTTGTCAATGTGAAGGGGTCATTTTTAAAAGGAAATTCTAACAACTTACCTGATTAGGTAAATTCACTCAGTCTGTTAGATTACCTGTGATTCTGGGTAAAGGTGTTGCCATCTCCCAAATAATCCGTAATTAACTGAGATGTGTTCAAGACAAAAAGATCCCCCCCACCCCCCTAAGAGACTGTTAAAAATGGTCTATCCATTAATTAGACTTTCAAAAAGCATTTATTGGGTACCTGCAGCATCCAGATCCTGAAGACAGCAGCCAATGTACAAACATTTGAGTAACCATATTATGTTGCCCTTCAGGAGTCCTAAACCGCTTTAGGGTTGGGGGCTCCCTCTGAGGACAGAAGGAGGGGAAGGGGAGGAGGGGAGGTGGAAGCTACAGCTCTTTCTGTAATGTTTGCTTCCTCGCAAAGAGAGGTGCAGAGCCAGACACATGGCCGAGGCATAACCGTCATAAAATCTAGATGGTGACTACATCCATGTTTTCCAGATTACTTCTAATGTTTTAATATATTTAAAATATTTTGTAATTTAAACGTTTTTCATTTAACAATTTACAATGTAGCTTCAAAAACATATTTTGTGTTATTAAGGACCACCCCCCAAGGTTCTGTGGCCAGCCAGATACCCAAATTTGTCACAGGTGTCAAATGCAAATTCAAACTGATTCCTTCCGCAGGCAAACATAGGGTAGAGTAGTATTTTAGAGCAAAGAACTGGGTTCAAATCCCAGCTCTGTGAACATACTAGCTCCATTACCTTGGGCAAGTTATTTGCTAAGAAAGGAATTTGCCTCCCATCCCACCTGCGAAATGGGTATTCCCTGCTGTAAAAGTAATACGAGTCTCGTGGCATTTACTGTTAACATTGCCACCCTGCCTCTCGCTCCTAGAAAGCACGCGGGCTGAGGGGGCAGTGCATCCACCAGAACCCTAAGAGGAAATCAGCTGCTCCTCCAGATAAGAGCTGAGGCATAAAACCGGCCGAGGGCCTGAGGGCAGCAGAGAAGAACAGGCCGATCGTCCTGCCCGTGGGTTTGACCGCTGCCACCCTGGCCGTTGCCCCCGTCCGCCTCGACAGGTAAGTCCCCACCCCGCGCTGCGGTCCCCGCATGGGGACAGGGTTAAGGGGTGCTCCTTACGGTTCAGTTCCCATCTCTGCTTTCGGAAAGGGAGAAGGTGCTCCAAGGGAGGCCCCAGGACGAAGACCGAGCCAAAGGACTTGGCCAAAACCAACCAGGTAAAGCATTTACTGAGAAATTTTATCTTTTCTTTCTGTTCTCGAAAAGCTGCTTCTTTTTCACTTTGTGTTTAATGCCCAAAGACAAAGATGAGGGGAAGTGGCAGGAGCTGCTTGGATAATTCAGACAATCGCCAACACTTCCTTGGCTTCGGTTTTGTTTTTTGTTTTTCCCCAGACTACCACTTCCACTTTTCCCCAAAAAGCCTTGCAAACAAGAGCCTTTTCTAGATGAAATTGTGAAATAAGGGCCTCTTTTCCCTGCCCCGCCCGTCTGCTCACTCCCACCCTGGTCTTCGAGGCATCATCTCTGTTAACGTGTCATTAACTGATAACATCCAGGACCTGGGTGATCATATCAAGAGGCCACCCTTCCCAAGAGCAGATCCACTGCAAAAGGAGACTCTGAAAGTCAGATCGGTCTTTTCAAACCCAACAGGCCAGCGTAATCACTTTGTCATTTATTCAGCTGCTTCTATCTGATTGTCCATAAGATTTTCCGTGTCTGTGTCATAATCTAACCCATTTGAAACAGAAGAATTGAAGTTCAAAGGCAGTAAGCTAAATAATCGAGATTACACACCAGATTTAAACCCATACCCAAATCCGAGATTTATTCTTGTCCCCCACACCCTTATCTCCACCTCAGATCAATCAAAAGTTCCACCTACTCCAATTCCCAAATGTCTTTCAAATCCACATTTTTCTCTCCATTCCCCGGCCACTGCCAAGTTCATGTTGGCCCTGCCTCCTCCTGGACCGTTTCACTAGCTGTCGAGCTAGAATGCAGGGCCCCAGCCCTTCCTCCCAGCGGCCGGCGCACACCGCAACCTGGCCGCTCTCCCTGAAACCTGATGGTTGCATTCCTCCGTCTGAAGCTTTTTCAGAGGCAGCCGACTGTGGGAAGAGTATGGTCTTCAGAGGTTCCAATCCCAGCCATGTGGCCTTAGGCAAGTCACGTAACCTCTCTGGATCTCAGTTTCCTTCTCCATCAAAGACGAGGTGAGCTCAGTAGTGGGCCTAGAGGAGCATTTTCTATTGGTGCTGGTGCAGCAAAGTCCTTCACAATCTGCCAGCCTGCCAGCCTCTGCAGTCTCCTGCTCCCTCACCCTCTTTTTCTAAAACTCATGGACACCAAAGACTCACCCACTGTGGCCCTGCACACCTTTGCCCAGGAGGAATGTTTCCTTCTTTAAGGAGGTCTTCTCTGTCCATCAGCTCTCTGACCCAGTTTGCATTGCTTCCTGTGCCCCGGAGCTCCTGTGCTTTTCCCTGGCGTTGCTCAGCGTGTTGGAGATGCATATGTGGCTCCCTCTCACACTGAACTTCTTGCTTCTCATAAGTCCTTTCTTAGCCTCCACACTAGTGACACCCAGCTCCATGCCTGGTGCTTAATAAATGCTCACGAAAGTTCACTGAACCCCAAACACTTGTTCTGCTGTAGGACAGAGAAACTGCTGTATGATTAGATCACCCTGCTTAACTCACCTTTAAATCACTACATCTCTCATATGTTCAATACAGCAGTAGCTTTTTGATCAAAATGAACCAATAAATATTAGCTCATAGCAGTCTCATAATAATTAACTTAGAGGTACAGTGGGATTCAACTCGGAATCAGCCAGGTAGACTTAGACACGTGCCCACAGCCTGGTGTGATGGATGGAAATTGGGCATTTCCTTCACACTTCCCAGGTTTCATGGTTGAGTATGATTCTGAAGAACAGGAAGAGCTGGAATCTTCTCAAAGTTATCTTAATCTGAATGCCATCCTTCTGGGCCCATTCACTGAATTTCTGAAATTCTCAGCTGGAGGAAAAGACAGTGGAGGGGATCAGCAGTTCATCAATGCCTGCGTGTCCCAGGCCTCACATCATTTCACGGTCTTTGCAACATCCCAACAGAGCCCTGTTAGCCTCATATTTTAGGGGAGCAAACTGACACTCAAAGAGTCATAGTAATCTGCCCAAGGACATACTGCTAGAAAAATGACACAGCTGAGCACTATGCCTTCTGCTGGACACAAACTTTCCAGGAATTCGAGTTACAGGAACATTTGGTTTTGAGGCTTGAATTAGAAAGGGGAATGGGGGACCATATATTTAATCTGTATTCCCAATTAGAGACAGACGCTGTGGCTAAATTAATTATGAAACAACCCCAAGATGGTGGAACCAAACAAATTAACCAAAAGCTGCTCACTTTTTGTATTTACAGATACCATGTCCTGCAAGAGGTGTTGGCACAAATGGTTTCTTTTCCACTTCAGGATATTCAACAGATCTTAAATATATTTGCAAAATTCTCATAAGCTTATCAAAAGAAGGGTCTATAGCTTAGTGACATTGAACCCACCTCCCTTTCCTGGTGTATGGCACATAGTCATTTCTTAATGAACATGTGTCGGGTGAGCAAACCAACAACTGTAACTAACACTGAACTCCTCTCTGCAGCTTGACTTCTGGTATCCAGATCCAGCCCACCATGTGGCTGCTAACTTGAGGGTGGATTTCCGAGTTAGTGAAAAGGAACCCCAGTCCATCCAGTTTGCCTTGGATCAAAATAATATGCACTATGAGTAAGTCCTATTATTCAATATTCAAATGTGTTGTACATTCAGAGTTTGGGGAGTCTTGAAATTGAAAGGAAAGTACTATTTCTAAATTAGGAAAAACGAAAGGTATATCTATGACACAAAACTTACCATTACTTCCAAACACACTCTTGGGGTCTGCCTACAGAGGTAATGAAATCAAACTTGTCCACTCAACTTCCATCTTATGTTTGCCCTGATCTGCAAGAATGGCAATTATCTCCCTCTGCCATCTCTGAGAATCAGCCCGACGTGAAGACAGGGTGCCCGCGAGCAGGCCCGGATGGCTTAGCCACACTCGCCGCCCCAACAGGTAATCTCCCAGAGCTCAGACGCTGCTGGTAACCACCAGCACCACGTGTTTTTTTATTTGAATCCTCCTGATACATAAAAGGAGACCCACATAGTGTTCACCTTTAAGTCAGAGATGAGGAAATGTAAAATATATAGGGAATAAATACATTTTTATGAAAGAAATTCTTCCTCCGAGAAAGCAAAAGCAACGCAGTAGAATAAGACACGTCCAAGAGGAGAGAATTTTTTAATGGCCAAAGATGCCAAAATGAGTCATTGTGGTCCCACAGAAAAATGAAGGGGAAGTAGAAGGCACCGAGCACCAGCCGGGCCAGACCCTGCCTGGGCCCCGGGGCAGCGCAAAGAGCGGAGCCCGTCGGGGAGGATCAGACGTGAACACAACATAGAAAGCAAAGCGTCTTGATTCTTTCAAACATTTAGTGATTTGATGTACTAAGGGGCCCTGTTTTAGCTCCCCAGCCCTTGTCACCCCAGGAGCCCCCTTTATTGAGACCCTCACCACTCTAAACGCGGCTCAGCACTAGTCCTGTCTGCCGCACCTGCCACTTCGTGCCCCGCCACCTAACTCGGGAGACCTGGGCTGGGACGGAGACCCCAGCGGCTGCTGCAGGCGGGTTCCTGCGGCCCCACGGCCTGGCTGCACTGTGACGTCGCGACAATACCCTCAAGTATAAACTCTTCTGAAAGTAAGGAAAGATGTAAGACAAGTCAGAAAGCGTTCTCGTTTGTGGCTTAGTGGCTTAAAAAGCCGCAGGCTGTTGTTGATCTCTGCCTTTGTGTTTACTGTTGTTTCAAAAGGGATGTGAAACAAAGGAAGTTAATATATGGGTAGAAGGGTTCCCAAGTTCATTTACACCAGCATTTAACTCTTTTTAAGTGATATATCGGCATGTGCTTTTCTGTGTTTATCAGTTGCACCATTAAGTTAGAATAGACGTTTTATTCATATGCCTCCGAGATCTCAGGAATTAGCGCATGATGAAGCCTCTGCTACGCTCAGGTTCAGGTGACGTCTGGATTCCTTCATCTAAAAGACGCCGGCCCCGCCCTACACTCCCCTGAGACTCTCTCCATTCCCCTCACCGCCGGGCTTCTCAAATGCGCGCCTCAGCTACTACACTCTCCTCTCTGCTTCATTAATATAGACATGACTCAGATTCCTGTGATCAACCCATTCTTACAAAGTACTCAGCCCAAGCTAAAATAAATTTTAGCTGGCTGATTTTGTATAATTTGTTTTGAACAGCTGGGTAAAAATAAAGTATTGTGTTTTTCTTAATATTTTGGTAATGTAGACAATGAGCTGGTTGTTTGCTTTGAGTGTGGATAGCTGGATAAATCACTGTGACAGAAGGCACCTGGGCAGGTGGCTGACATCCTTCCATTTTATCAAATAGTTCACATCAGCCCTGTCTCCCCTTTGGTCCTCCATAGGCTCTCCTAGCCTGACGCAATTCTGACTTCAAACAGAAATTTTGTTATCTAAATTCAGATCCTCATAAATAGTGTGTTTTTCAATTTATCTTATGCCAAGATACTTCCTTGCTCTCCACATCAAAAACCAAAGTGTTAAACTACCTATAAAAATTAGTTTTATCTAATTAGGACATGATTTTTAGAAATTGGTCCAAATTAGCCACAGTTGTAGGAAAGCCACATAATTAGATAGTTACCTTACTCAGAAATATAAATATGTAAAGTGATCTGTGCAGACAAGAACTACTTAAAATCTTGTCTCCAAGTACTAATTACATAGATAATTTTATTTGCATATTAATTATATGTGCTACTTGGTATCAATCAGTAACGAAAGAGGGTTCTGAGAACAGAAACATCTGATGGGACACAAGCTCTAGTCTGAATAATACCACATTACAAGGCTGGTTTGACACAGTTATTTACTTAGACACCCTTCCTTAGACGTGCATATAAACCACTATTTAATTTAAAGCATCTGGGTGCAATTGTTTTTAATTTTCAGAAAATTAAATTACTAAGCCAGAGTTGATTTTAAAGTAGCATGTTTGTTCCCTTTTCATTTACACTTTTATAAAATCATAAAAGGCCAAATTAAAAAATGTAATATGTATATACTATTAAACCTGAACAGACAGGTGGGAAAATATCTAAAGGAAAGTACATTCATTCAACTAAGCCTAGAGTGGCAGACACCCTATTTGGATTCAGCNCCAGGCTCCAGTCTGAATAATACCACATTACAGGGCTGGTTTGACACAGTGATTTACTTAGACACCCTTCCTTAGACGTGCATATAAACCACTATTTAATTTAAAGCATCTGGGTGCAATTGTTTTTAATTTTCAGAAAATTAAATTACTAAGCCAGAGTTGATTTTAAAGTAGCATGTTTGTTCCCTTTTCATTTACACTTTTATAAAATCATAAAAGGCCAAATTAAAAAATGTAATATGTATATACTATTAAACCTGAACAGACAGGTGGGAAAATATNCAAAATCATAAAAGGCCAAATAAAAAAAAGTAATATGTATATACTAGTAAACCTGAACAGACAGGTGGAAAAATATCTAAAGGAAAGTACGTTCATTCAACTAAGCCTAGAGTGGCAGACACCCTATTTGGATTCAGCAGTTAAAAACCCTTGTGTGTTTACAGTGTTTTAAATATTTTAAACATCTGTATTTTAGAGACACTTTAGATTATCTTTTCTTTGATCAAAGTTAAAATTAGGTAATTCAGAAAACCACTCTTAATATATTAGTAAAATTCAAATGATACGGTTAAGTAAAATCTGATTAAGATCCACATAAGATTGTGTGGGGATTGCAAAAGAGACCTTTCCCAAACTGGCACAGCGATCACCAATACCTCACACTGATGTCCACTGATCCAGTCATGTCCAGTCAGACACAAACTCACATTCCAAGTATATACAAGGGCCTATAAAATAAGTATTTTAACAAAATATATAATTCTAATGCCTCATTCCATTCATTTCCTTCTGCTCTACATTTTCATATATTACTTGCCCAGGAGTGAAACAGGTGTATTGACACCTGCTCCGAGAGTTGACGAGATGGTGGTCACGGCAGAAAGCAGGGTGTGTAGGTAAGAGTGCGGATTCGGGAGCCAGGCCGGTCCTTTCCAGTCCCATTTCAATCACGCATCAGTGAAGAATTTACTTAACTTCTCTGCACCTCATTTTCTTCATCTCTAAAATGGGGTTTCATGAAGATTGACTGGGACCACAAAGTCGCCCTTCGCTGCTCCTTTACTTCTACTAAATCAAGTAGAGGAAAGACTACTTACACATTTACTCAGCTGCGCGTGCACACACACACTCCCATACGCACACACTCACACACGCACAGCACACACACTGCACCACAGGATAGCATCACCGGATGCCCCCTTTCCCTCCTCGTGAATAAATTAGTGCCTTGAAGCTCATTACCCGTCACAGAGGTCTGCCTCAAGTGTTGGGAGATCCATGGAAGCAAGTGGCACGTTTGATACCTGGTAACTCGATTCGTGAGATACTTGGGATAAAAGGGACCTTATGGAGACATGAAATCATGCTTTTGAGTAGCCCCTGTCCTACTGGAATGGGGGGATTCGGATCAGCTTATAGCAATGGCTCTGCCTCCCCGAAACATCCTTCCTCACCACCAGTACACACACACACACACACACACACACACACACACACACATAAACGTACACACACATATGCACACACGTAAACATACACACACACATACACACATATACACACACAGACTGTTTTTTCCTATACTTACATACCTATGATAAAGTTTAATTTACAAATTAAGCACCTGAAGAAGCTAACAATAATAANATAAACATACACACATATACACACACAGACTGTTTTTTCCTATATTTACATACCTACGATAAAGTTTAATTTACAAATTAAGCACCTGAAGAAGCTAACAATAATAACAAAATAGACCAGTTATAACAATATACTATAATAAACGTTACGTGAATGTGGTCTCTCTCTCAAAATATCTTACTGTCTTCTTTCTGATGATGTGGATGATGCAATGCCTCCGTAATAAGATGAAGCGAAGCACTCAGGATGGCATGCAATTTAAAATGTATGCATTGTTTATTTCTGGAATTTTCCATTTAATATTTTTGGACCTCAGTTGACCACAGGCAACTAAACCTTGGAGAGCGAGACTGTGGATCAGGGAGGACAACGGTACACTGGCCCACAGTCCTCATCATTCCTCTCGGCCCCTCTCTAAAAGCAGCAGGAGGGAGCCTTGAAATTGCCAAGATAGGGCTCATCTTGCCTCTTCTCTGAGCTCACCCGCTCCCTGGCATGAGACACAGTTTTCCAGGAAAGCTGGTCACTGGTCAAACTTTTCACAAGCCCCAGTGAACGAAGCAAACTGCAGGCCCGACGGCACCATCCAGGGATTTCACTCCCTGCAGCGGAGGTGCGGTTGTACAATGGTCACATCAGAGGTCAGATCTCTAGGCTCAAACCCCACTTCTACATTCTGCCAGTTGTGAGAACTTTGGAAACGCACCAAACCTGTATAAAAATGAGGGTAATAATGATGCCCAACCAACGGAATAGTGGTGGGATAAAGAGTAGAAGATAAACTGTAAAATCTGTGCTAAGCAGAGTGCCTGGCACAGAAGGAAGACTGGAAAACATTAGCCATTCGTAGCATTAAGTCCTCGGTGATAGTTATTTATCTTTTCACCTACATTCAGGAATATTTTTAACAAATTAAGCAATTATGGGAGTGCTAAAATAATATTTGAGAGGGTAATTTGGTTTCATTTGTGTAAGCCTAGCTGCTGGTTATTGGAAGGGCTCGTGAAAATAACATCTGGCCTGGCTCTTAATTTTCAGCTTTAGGCTTCATTTCCGGTCCCTGCCAGCAGCAGCCTGGCTTTGTTCCGATATCCTCACGGAGCTGCCTTTGTGGACAGGTCGGATTTCAGCTCACATAGGTTTCTTTTGCTGCTGTTATCGCAAGAGCTAAATTGATATGTGTAAGTCTAAAAACACCCTTAGATACGAGCTTCCTGTGACTAATTAATACTGCTGTATGTTCCAAATCAACCTTTGGGACCATAGCATTTCTCGTTGGCCTGGTTCCTGTACTTCTATTAATGTGGGTAGAGCAAAAGCCATAAGCCCTCTTTAGAGGCTGAAATAATTAATTATGCCCGTAGTGACCACCCAAAACGTGACGTCCAACCTGCTCAGGCTTTGTATGAGTTTCAGTGCAACATGCCCCACCTGATTCCAAAATTGTCACAGTTTTTTCCTCCCAGAAATCCCAGATTCATCATAAGTCGAAAGCCAAGTAAACAGTGAATTGCATATAATGTGCATGTCGGTGCTGTTCATGGGAATCAATATTCATGAGCAGGACTTGGTCTCACGAGCTAAATAAGCTCTAATTAGGAGTCTACCTCATTCATGTTCCACCTCCGAACTCAGATCAGTCAGTCAATCAGCAAGAAGAAACTGATGAGCAGAATGGGCACTGCGGCGTCACAGTTCATTATCATGAGAAATCGAAAAAATCAGTCAAACAAGTACACGCCATCAAAGCCCGGTTCAGAGCCGTGTCGAACCACGGTGACGCGGTTGTCAGTCTGTGACTCATCCTCACTGTTGCACTGAAGTTCCCTGGGTGCCTCTGGCATGGCAAGTGCATGTCCTATTTCACTTCATTTCATTCTCACCACAACCCTGGACGGCACGTTTGGCACCGTTGTAAAAGTGAGTCATCAGGGAGATAGCTGATTTGCCCAAGAGCAGATTAAGTATTAAGTAGCCAAACTGGGGCTGGAACCCAACAATGTCTGATCACAGAGCCCTTCCTACTAGATTCCTGCTTCCTTACTTGATAGAACTCATGGAAGCACAGGAGTGCATAATACTGTCCTAAATGACTAGAATAAATGTTTGAAAATAGACAGCATCTTCCTACATAGGACTCATTGCTCATAGAAGAAAAACACACGTGTTTCGTCAACAAAAGTTGAGTAACACTTCTTTTATATAATCAAAATAAAGAAAATGTTCAGATAAGTACAACGTCATAAAATCCTTTATTTTAAATATTTCACAGAACTATTTCCATTATAAGCCACACTACCCTACAAAATCGAGTATATTGAATATAGTTTACTTTTGGTTGAGAAATTATCATTATCAACACAAATTTTCTTTTTTTAAAAAAATACATCTTTATTGATTTCAGAGAGAGGAAAGGAGAGGGAGAGAGAGAGATAGAAACATCAATGATGAGAGAGTCATTGACTGAGCCCGCAACCCGGGCATGTGGCCTGACCGGGAATCGAACCCCGATCGCCTGGATCCTAAGTGGACGCTCAACCCCTGAGCCACGCCCGGCCGGGCATCAACACAAATTTTCATACTGTGCTATGAGAGAATGGTCTTTTCAAGGACTAAGTTCCAAAAGTATGTTGGGGAATTTGGACTTACATCTGACCCCTGCGTTTCCTAAGTCTTCTATGTAATTTTACTTTGCTTTTTTCCACTGTCAGCTGTCACCTACTGATGGTATGCTTGCTTCCTGGGAGTCACCTTGCCTGTGTCCAATGCATTCCTCCTAGGTTAAGCAAGCTTTTTAGCCCTGGCCAGTTTTGCTCAGTGGTTAGAGCATTGGCCTGCAGACTGAAGGATCAAAGGTTCGATTCCTATCCTCAGGTGAGGATTAATAACAACAAAAAACAAGCTTTTTATAATTATTTCTAAAATAAGATGAACATTTTGTGAGCGTTTGTAAGTCTCCTGTGGCTGCAACATAATATTACACATATTAAGAAATATAATAAAATTTAATTGCAATAATACATCAATAGACAATGATAATTTGATCATATAGACAGTGCCATATTAATCTCAAAATGACAACCAATATTATATATACTTAATGGTGAAAGACAGATTTTTCTTGTTAAAACCAGGAAAAAATAGAACACCTTCTTTTACCACTATTATTTCTCTTGTTCAGAGAGCTTAGCCAATTCAATAAAACAAGAGGGGGGAGAACTAGATATAGAAAAAAAATAGAAAGTATAATTTTTTGCAGAATAACTACACAGAAACCCTGAAGACATAGCTAAAACATATTAGAACAGGATAATTTTTAAACTAATACAGTGGCTAATAGGTAAGTATAACCAAAGCAATAAGTTTTTCAATATATAAATAATCAGTTCCTGTATTTAGTGGAAAAAAGCTACTCACAAGACTAATAAAAGTATATGAATAAACAAAAAATATAAAATTTTCTTGAATTTTTAAAAAGCTATTTTATGCTTCATTATTAATTATAAGTCTTCTCAAACTTATCCATAATTTAATACAATTCTAATCAAAAGCCCTTTTTTGTAATAATTTTTCAAATGATTCTGACAAAACATTTGTTAAAAATAGGTGAAATTACTCAAAAAATTTTGGAAGCAAAAATAAGGAGACACTTTATGAAATATTAAAATTCAGTATTAAAACTGTAATTAAATATGGTTTGGTGCTTACACAAGAGTAAAAAATATAGGTCAATAGAGCAAAATAGAAAATCCTTAAACAGACAAAATTTACAAAAATATTTGTGACTATGATGACAGTGGTAGTTTTGAAATATAAATCTTGAAGTCAGGCAAGTTGGCATTCAAATTCCCAGCTCCACCATACACAAGTTATATTTAAACTTTCTGAACAACAATGTTCCCATCTGTAAAATGGTGATAATATTAATAAGATAAATAAAACAATGTATGTAAAGAAGTACCTGGACCATACTAAATAAATGGATATCTAGGTGAAAATGGCAGGTGGTAATTGGATGTGCTAGTCATGGGAGAGGTAGGGGAAGAGGTTAGATGTAGGTTCGGGGCAGAANGTGGGATTCAATGAGGTGATAGAATGAGATGAGATGAGATAACTCAGGATAAGATGGAATAGATAAGAGGGTAGAGACATAAGCCTTCTGGTCCCCAACACTAGCCTTCCAGTGATTCTTCCTGCATCNATGGGATTCAATGAGGTGATGGGATGAGATTGAGATGAGATGAGATGAGATGAGATGAGATGAGATGAGATGAGATGAGATGAGATGAGATGAGATGAGATGAGATGAGATGAGATGAGATGAGATGAGATGAGATGAGATGAGATGAGATGACTCAGGATAAGATGGAATAGATAAGAGAGTAGAGACATAAGCCTTCTGGTCCCCAACACTAGCCTTCCAGTGATTCTTCCTGCATCTTGTGTCACACTCCCCAAACCTGCCTAGCCATGTTCTAGCTCTGCAATCATGGGCAAGTTATTTAAACACTTTATGCCTCAGCTTTCTCATCTATAAAATGAGGATAATAATCTCAGTTGGAAATGAAATAATTTAATGCATGTAAATTGCTTAGAGCAATGACTGGCTCATGGTAAATGCTAAGTAAATGCTTATTAATATTGTTACTCAAGTTTCTCAGGACAGTGAGTAGATTTGTGCATAAGAATACCCACTGTTGCCTGTGTGGTGTGTTTGTGAAGGTGTGTGCTTTGAAGAAAGGGTGTGAGTGACTATAGAGCAGACCTGACCAACAGCAGTACAATGCAAGCCACACGTGCAATTTTAAACATTCTAGTAAAAAAAGCAATTTTAACAAAATATTTTATTTACTTTAACATCTTCAATATTATGTCAACATATAATGAATATAACTTCTTAGTGAGCTATTTCAGCAATCTTTACGTTTGGACAAGCCCATTTTAAGTGTTCTATAGCCACGTGCGGTTAAAGACTACTATATTGGACAGCACTGCTGTAGATTAAAGGGACGATCTGAAGCCAGGCACATGACACATCTAAAGGAAACGGTAAGAGAATAAGTTGATCTAAGATAAAGGAAGAGAAAATTTCTGCAAATTAAAGATAAATGTGTTTTTCTTTCTCTAGTAAATGTAAATTTTATCACTGCCCCATCAAACAGAATCTTGATTCATGATCTACAAGAAGTGATTGAGAAACAGTTTGATGTTAAAGAAGATATCCCAGGCAAGCACAGCTATACAAATACAATACCGGGACAAGTTACAGTAAAATGCCTGTGCTTCCGAAAAAAAAAAAAAAAAGAGCCTCAACATTTGTCTTCATTAATTTTCTCGTATTAATTCGTCAAATTGCTTTTGTTAAGATTGTTGCTTGGACTGAAAAAATGGTGCATAACCATCCTGACATGGTCTCTCGTATTAAAATTGGAACCACTGTTAAAGATAACCCACCGTATGTTCTCAAGGTAAAAATACTTCAAGAACTACTGATTCTTATTCTTGTTGAAAAACATGATTTTTAAGATTACTTTTGACACATATAGCTAATTTTGATACAATAAAAAGTTATTTTTTGAAGAACATTTTCGCTCTAGACATCCATTCTAGAATAGGAGTGACAGCTGGTTTTAGGTGGAACCAAAAAAGTTCTGATTAAACCATCTGTCNTAGCTAATTTTGATACAATAAAAAGTTATTTTTGAAGAACATTTTCGCTCTAGACATCCATTCTAGAATGGGAGTGACAGCTGGTTTTAGGTGGAACCAAAAAAGTTCTGATTAAACCATCTGTCATACACCGTGGACTAACACAGACAAACATCTTATCCTGTTTCTTTATTATGAGTTAATGGTTTCTCTGGTGCAGAAGCATCCTGACATTAAAATTCAGTGAAACTGATGACTAAAGTGTCATGAAGAAAAGAGAAATTCAAGAATCACAGAATCATAGGACCTGAGAACACTAAGTGAGGCAATCCCGCCCCATGTTGAGGGGGATTCCCTTCTATAACCCAGCTGGTAACTGCCATTCAGCTGCTGCTGGATTTTTGTACATCCAAAGACACCGCTCCCTGATACATCCCCTTTATAACTGGGAAGCCCTTCTTTATCCAAAACTCCCACCCATTCATTCTCTCCAACCACCCAAAACAAATCCAACCGCTCTTCAAAATGACAGCCCTTCAAACGGCCACTTCAAACACAGCTACAAAATCTTTTCCACGCCTAGCAAAGCATCCCCTGGTTATTGTGAGGCTTGCAGAGGAGGAACACACGAGGCCAGATGAGAAGGCAAAGCAGTTTTATCAGGGCATCTGAACACAGGTGGTTAGAGCATCTGAGTACAGAAGGGCTGAGCTCCAAGTGGCATCCGCGCCAGTGGCTGGGGAGGAAGGCCCTTCACAGGGGGTAGGGAGGGAACTTTTTGACACTCGCGTGGTTTTTCTGAGCAGGAGTGGAGAGTTACCGAGCATAAGGAACAGAAGGTGTCCAGTGAAATGAACTCATCTAAAAGTTACATCCTCGCCCGGCCGGGCGTGGCTCAGCAGTNGGGAGTAGAGAGTTACCAAGCATAAGGAACAGAAGGTGGCCAGTGAAATGAATTCATCTAAAAGTTACATCCTCGCCCGGCCGGGCGTGGCTCAGCAGTTGAGCATCGACCTAGGATCCAGGTGATCGGGGTTCGATTCCCGGCCAGGGCACATGCCCGGGTTG